TAGAGTAAAGGGTGAGGGTAATGTGGTCTACCCTGAAATAAATGTAAATCTTAACCCCAGATCTAGCTTCTCGTGAAAATCACAATCCGTTCCTCACTACTGCCCTGGAAGTTACTTCTCTTGCTCCTGGATGAGAAGCATGGTAAGGGAGGAAGGTTTATTTTGGTTTACAGTTGAGGGGCTCTGTCCATCACAGCAGAGAAGGCCTGGCAGCAGGAGACCAAGCCCATTGTTACCCAGCGTCAGTGAGGAAGCAGAGAGTGGATAGGAAATGAGTGTGTCTGTGGAGATTCAAGACCCTCCCCGAGTGGCCATATCCTCCAGCAGGGCTCCACTTCCTAAAGACAACACAGCAGCCCAAAACAGCGCCATCAGCTGGGAACCACCCGTGGAAACACACGAGTCTATGGGTGCATTCCACAGTGCCCCAGCAACACACAGTCGGTCTTATGCTTAGACTATCATAGTCACCGATTTACATAGAATCCACCTAGATGTAAATCCTTGGTACTAGTCTTTTTAAAAAAAAAAAAAAAGCCATGAAGCAATTAAAAATATAGACGAAGAAGCCACCATAGCAAACAAAATTTCTACCCAATATCCATTTGCAGAAGCTCTGCTCTGCTTCGGGCATACAAAATTGAACTTCATGGTAGAATATCAAAAAAAAATTAAGGCCCCAAATTGCGGAGTAGATGGCAGAGAAAAAAAGTGAGGATTTTACGAAGGCTGTAAGCTTCCTGCAAGGTAGTAGGCTAGAAACCAAACAAACTAAAAGACGAACTGAGCTCCATTCTTCTGTATATAGCCAGCAGCCGTGGGAGCTCAACCAATCCAATATAAAATAGAAATGCATTGCATGAAGTAAAGAAGCTAGTGCATAGAAAGCATCGAATGCAGAGCTTGCATGGCGTGTCTGCTTAATGTATTATTTATTAAGCATGCTCTCAATATCAACTGCAAACTAGTAATGGCTCTTCCTTTCTGAAGAGTCTGTCACTGTTGTTAGTGCGTACAAAACCTCAGCGTTGCTAACTGCGTACAGGCTGAACGGCAGTGCACGGTGAGGAAAGTCAACAACCAAGCCCAGGAACGTCGGAAACTCCCTTCTGCCCTTCTCCCTCTGAAAAATCTCACCTTTTTAATTGCTTCACATGGTTGCTACTTTGCCCCAGTAAAACGGTGAGATTGTTTTCCTAGCCCTGCTCAGTAATAGATCTTTCTATTTCCCACCCTGTTATTACTAAATGACACGACACACTACAGTTCTCCTAAGTCCTACTTAGATGGCCTCAAAGGTTTGGGACAGGCTAGAAGAGCATATGAATTCCAGGTACGTGGGTAGCAAACCGTGCTCAGTTGCTATGGGTGTCCCCGTTTCTGAGGCTGGTTGGAACAAGTGTCATTATTTCCCTCAATCTTGTGAGCCTGGTTTCCACTTTCTGCCACCATGGCTAACATATCTGAGTTCTCCACAGCATCTAATATTCATTTACTTATTACCTATTGTAAAACTAAAATTCTATGAGGAGGAAATCAAAAAAACACGAACCAGTGAAGAAATGGCACTGTCTCCAAGTCCTTGCTACAGCTCAGTCGCAAAGTATACACGGCATGTGACATTTCATACTGGGTCCAGATGTCTCTTGCTGACAAGAGCGCATCCGTGAAATCAACGACTCTCCAGTCAGAAGAGAGCAAGTTCAGATCAACTCTTTCTTGTTTAAGAACATTATAACCTAGGAAAAGATGCTAAATTGTTTGCCACTTCTGATGGATTTATGGGATGGATTAGACACGTCATTGGTTAGTTTGATAAGGATCAGAAGCGCTACCTCCAATCCACTCTCAGCACAGAGCACACAACTGTATTTTTGGTAGTGTATTTTCTGATAACTTTAGTTACGAATGTAAGATTATTCAATATCTGTCACAATTAAAGTTATAATCTGCTGTAAAAGAAATCTGCATCAATTGTATGATGTACAGAAGTCAGGAAGGCAGAGCAGCAATCTGGGCAACAGCACCAGCAAACACAATTAACATATAGAAGAAGTGGGGAGATGGGAAAGCATATAAACCCCAAAACAACCAATTCACTTTTTAAAAAGGTATGGAAGTCCATACAAAATAAGGACAATCAGTCCATGTGGGAAGCTGGCACACTCAGAACTGGTGACCTGTGCTATGTATATTAAGAAGATATATGGGTAGGAACCAGATTATATATTGGAGGCCTTACCCCAAATATATGTAAACAAATGTTACTCTACAACTATAAAAGAGACACACATGAAATTTGAGTCTAAATCTACAAATTGTATTTATGTTTCTTTCTCCTTTAAGTTTTCTATAAGGAAAAAATATCCAGTGCACTTGGTGTCCAGTACAAAGTCCCTGTGGGAGGCATCACCCTGAACATGGGCTCCCTGCTCTGGGTAGCTAGACACAATATTAGCATTTGAATTACCTGTTAGCTCCCCAAGGGCCAGAATACACAGTGCAAACCTTCAGGTTTGAGCAAAATGAAACAAACAAGGCCATAAAAAACATCACTGAGGCAGAGACAGGCTGATCTCTGTAAGTTCTAGGTCAACCTGGTATATAGAGCCAGGGCTGTAACACAGAGAAACCCTATCTCGGAAATAAATAAATCAAACAATAAAATCAGTGCCTGGAAGGATGTCTGCAAACCTGCCCTTGTTTCTGTGGATGTTTTGTTCTTTGTTTAAAAGCAAAGCTGGAACACAGGAAGAATAGCAGTCATAAATAATCAAATGAATATAAAAGGCAAAACAAAACAACAAAACAAAAATGCTCCTTAACCCTGACCTACTGTTATTCCAACTCAGGATCCCAGGGACAGTCCATCAAAAGAAGATAAATTGCATCAAAAAACAAACAAAACCAATTACAGGTCATGTGCTGGAAATGCAAGGCTAAGGTAAACTATAATCTGCCTGATCACAGTGAAGGGATATAATGATTATAGAAAAAAATAGGATGAAAAATATCAAAATACTCAAAATTAGTATCTTTCCAGAAAATAATTATTTTTGTTACAGCTAATATTTTTCATACAATCAAAATCAAATGCCTATGAACTAGAGACATTTAGATCAAAATAGGAAACTTATTTCTCTTTCAGATAATTCTAAAGATTTTATACCACTTTTTCATCTCCTTAGTGTAAGTCCCAAGTCCCCATCTCTGGCCTCATCTTTGGAGACCCTGTCCCTGTGCCCGCCAAGCCTTGACCCCTCCCCAGAGGAGGGTCAAGACACTTAGTATTTTCAATTTGATCCTTCTAGTACACTTTTAAAGGTAGCCTCTGAGTTCACTAATTTTTATCTCACTGAAGAGTTCTTAATCCAATCCTTTAAGAGAGAAAGCAGGAGGATCTAGGCAAATCTGAGGTCCAGCCTGGTCTACATAGCAACCTCTAGGGACAGCCAAGGCTACATGGTTAGAGCCTGTCTTCAAAAATGCAAACTCTTTCATCTCAGCCCCTAAGGGCTGCACTATTGTACTGCATGTTGCAGGTGTGAATGCAAGGGAGTCAAGAAGATGGGGAACAAAGTGCCCTCAGTTGCACTAGAAAGCTCGGGGCAAGAGAGGCATGGAGATACATGACTGCAACCCTACACTTGAAAAGCTAAGGTGGGAAAATAGAGAGTTTAAGGCCAGAGCAGGCAAGACCCTACCTTACAAAAGAGAAATAAATAGGCATGCATGCAAACTGTTAATTTTAAGTGAGCTCTGTGTTTGATATATTCTGCCACCAGTCTCGGGTCTTGGAGCTTAGCTTCAGCTCCTAACCCCATGCTAGGTTACTGTGTTGGAGAGTACCAGTAGCATTGACAGCTAGTCTTTGTAGCTGGCCCGTCCATAATCCAAACCAAAAACAACAGCAAAATTTATTGAGGAAAACATTATCATCCTAGAAAAAAATTTATGTCTTCCCAGATAAAAAATATTACCATACCATGTTTACAGACACTCTCTGAGAGAAGCTAAAGAAATTAGGGCAGCCTTTTCAGAACTCGCATTCTGCTGCCTGGAGAGTATTTATTATATAATGTTATAATACAAATATTATACTTTTAAATCAAAATGCAGAGACATGATGATCAGAAAAATTAAGTAAAAAAACACATAAATTCAGATTCCACCAAGAGAGACAGAATACTTAAGGATATACATTGTATAAAAACTACTTAAATTTAATGAAATAAATTGTGGCTTTACGTGGTTCTTTGGAAAGAAAAAAATACAACAAATTTAGTATATTAGACCCTGAAAATAACCTCCATGTTTTATCAAAGCAAGAACTTTGTGAGATTGACAAATAATTATTTCTACATTTTTGTATTCATTTTATATTGCATAAATGCAGAGTGGTGTTCTTTACCCATAGTCATTAAATTTGTTATACATTAGAAATAAGAGATTGGTTTCAAATTTATTGAAAGTTTTAGAAAGAAATCGTCATTCTGAACTCCTCTTAGTATGAATATACTCTGCAACTTCGTAAAGGCCGCTCATCTCTGATGTCAAAATAAATTAAGGTCAGAATTAGCCAAGATCTACTGACCCGCTTAAATTTATCATTAATAAATAGGATTAATAGAGTAGTGACACCATTGAAAAAGCCAGCTCACCTTTCCTATCATAAAGCTACCACGCTGCACCAGACGTATTTCAAGCATAAAAACGGACTCATTGATATAGTGATGGTTTTATTAGAGAAAGTTATTTGATAGAGTGAGCATAGTTTGTATTTGCTTCATTTCAAAGACTGCTATCACCTACTGCTGACGGAAATGTTTTCCTAACACATACTAATAATTCTGCACCCGGATGGGATCCTGAACATGAACCTGAACTGCTGTCCTGCTCTCTATCTTGGAGCCGGTCGGTCGCCTGTGCAAAAGGTGACTCCTCCAGGACAGCCACACCCTGGCTGTCAACCTCATCAGTCTGCAGACAAAGCCACTCACCTCAGGCTCAGCGACAGCAGCTGCTCCTTGGACCTCAGCAGTTCCCCAACTTGAAAACTGGCACAGCCCAGGAAACTCCTCTGAAAATAAGGAAGAACGTTTGCCATCAACTCCTGGGACTCTTTCTATGTTTTCGTTCACACACCAATTACACAGAATTAGTTTTGAAAAGAACAAAATACTGAATCAATTAGCCCCCAAACAGTTCACAGACAGAAATACAGTGCTGAAATACCAACTTGGTTAAAGACATATCTTGACAGCCTGGGAAGCGAGAAGAAGTAAAACACAGCAGCCTGGTCTTCCCCACTGATGATAATTTCCTCCCCACAAGAAAACCAGTGTCAATGATCATGCTAAACTTTCCAAATTCACCAAGATCTCCACTTACTAGAGTTCCTCAAATCACTGGCAACAACAACTCTGTGTTCAAGATATGAGAAAATCTGCCTCTTGAAGCTATTTTTACATGGGCTCGGCGTGAGTTATAAATAGAAAGACAATATTTCTCCCCATCACAGAAGCATTTAGAAGCATTTGCTTCCTTTTGGGTTTTTTTTTTTTTTCTAGCCTGGGACAATTTCATCCCAAACACACAAATAAATAGTTCTTCTGCTTGATTTTCTAAGATTAGTTTTTAAACATATCACAACCGGGTGTCATGTTTACCAGTAAATATCAGCTATCTACCGCTTTCAACTCAACGTAAAGAATACACGGGTAAATGGTTGTTTCTCTTCTCTGTCTCAGGGCTGCAGTCTTTTGTCTGTTCCTGGTTATTTCTGATTGGGAAGTGACAGCATTATGGCATGAATACCATAAAGAGTATTCCTCGCCTTCCTCGATGACTAAACACAAAAGTGTCAAGTCCATATGGTCCCCTGTGCCATTGCTGATGGGCAGCGCGTGATGCCCTGTCAGAGGTCAAAAGCACCCTCCCAAACTTCCTCTCGGCACAGCTCTGCTGCCAGACCATGCATGAACAAGAGGCTGGAGTGAAGAGCCTGAGACAGTGAAATGCTTTCAGAAGAAAAATAGAGCATCATCCCACACACCAGAAGAGGCAGCATGTATACTAAGTTGTTGTTGAAAGAAAAACAGTCTGGTAAGAATTGTGTGTGTGTGTGTGTGTGTGTTGCCTGTGTATATGTGTCAGTGCATTCGGGTGAGCAAGGAAGCCAGTACGAGGAATCACTGTGAGCTGCCCTGTGAGTTCTGGGAACCAAAATCGGGTCCTTTGCAAGAGTAGCCAGGGTTCTTCCCTGATGAATGATCTCTCTAGCCACAGGTCAAAATTTTTAACCTCTTTTCAAAACTCTACCACAGAGGGGTAGAGTTCAGAAGGGTTTAAAGACACACATCTGGAAACACAACTTGGTTTTGAAATTGTACACAACTCTATTAGTATTAGTTCCAAGTAGGTAACTTGAAGATCAGAATGCTATTATATGCACCCAGTCACCAAGGACTGGAAATTCTGAACTCGTATTGCTAGATGGAAAAATACTGAGTCAAACCAGAGGACCTAAGGAGCAGTGGTGTCAGCATGGATGGAAGCTGAAGACCAGCATCAGGAGCCTTATGAACAGAATACAAGAGCAAAAGGCAGAGGACACAGGAGCCCACAGAGGCATTTAAACTCCCTCCTCGGAGACCACACACGACAGAAGGCACTCTCTCCCAACCTCACTGTGGGTCACTACTCAGTGCTTTGTTTCTCCATTTACATTGAACACCACATGGTATATTCAAATGACTATCTTAAACCCCTGCAAATAACTGAGATTTCAAGTTCTACAAAGATGATGATTTTCTGTTGTACTCTTCTGAATACACACTAGACGTGGGAACAAAAGGCTAACTGGCCACAGATGAACGGATGAGGGACTGACCCCAGTTTCCAAGTAAATGACTCATTTATTTATTTTTAAGACAAAATCTCACCCAATAGCCTAGAAATTACTACATAGCTCGGGGTACCCGTGAATATACAATTATCCTCCTGTCTCAGCCTCCTGAGAGTTGGAATTACAGGCATGTACCAGCACATGCAGCTCAACCACGTTTTTTGATACATGTGAGAGACACACAAATTTCGTGATTATTTATAAATCATTGTACCTCACAAAAATGAGAATAAATGAGAACCGTAGTATACAGATAATACAGCAAAACAGCATTACAGCAATTAGCAATTTGAATCTTTGTAAATATTTAATTTGCTTTTTTAAAAAAAAAAATCCTGGAAATGTCTGTTTTGGGAACTAGGTATATGTATGTGAATGCAGGCTTCCCTAGAATGCTGGATTCCCCTGGAGTTACAAACAGTCGTGAGCTACCATGCGGATTCTGGAAATAAAACCGTAGTCTTCTGAAAGAGGAGTAGGTGCTCTTAACCAGTAAGCCATCTCTCTAGACTACACTCCAAACTTAAAAACATATCTATTTCACCTTCTCTTTCACTGGTAATTAGAGGTTTTAACTTAAATTCCCACATCCCATTCTATTCATTATTCATTCCCCAACAAAAAAACAGATCATGAATTTCACAAAACACTTGACTTTCTAAGCTTGTTTAATGCACCCTTTAAAACTGTGTAGGTCTGGAGGAATGCAGAAAAAGGAACACACACCATAATAACATGGTGGTCTTTTTAGCCACAAAGTAGCAATTGCCCCAGACTTGAATTTTGCAACTAGAGACAGGTGGAACGGCTAATTTTAGGGATGAGCTATGGACACACCATAAGGCACAGCTGCAAGCAAGACTAGTGACCACAACAAAGGACTGTCTCTGTCTGCTGGACCAGAAGCAGACCTGTAGCTGGTCAGTCTCAGAGACAGCCCCAAGGTTGTTAATAGGGGTCCTGTGTCATGCATTATTCTGAGCCAGTGTGCCAGGGACAACGACCTTGAGGCAAGCATTCCCGTCATAATTGCCCGCCCCACGGAGAAGCTTGAGAGTTAAGAGAGGCATGAACAAGAGACAACTGATAGAGTCGGGAGGGCATCTGGTAAATACTGAGATTCTCCGCGTTTATTTCTCATTGGCATTGTATACCCAATCCAAAGAGGAGGGGGAAGACAAAAGGCTTCTTTTACCAAGATACAAAGAACAGAGTAGTTACCTTCTTAAGACCCAAAGCATCAAGTAACCACACCCTAGGTCAAAACATCCACTTAGTAGCTTAGTAGCCACACCGTAGGTCAATAACCTCAAGGGAACAAGAATAGGCCTGAACTCTCGACCTTAGTCAAAGTGGAATGGACCCACTTCTGTGGGCTCCCACATGGGCCAGGCTTGATCTCAGGCTTAGTCTGGCATTTCAGAGCTTTACAAAATAAGATTCATTAAAAATTAGTATTGGTCCTGATTTGGACCTTGAGATTTCAGTCCGGTGCTCCAATGTGGGTCTCTGTCTCTGTCTCCTTTCATCGCCTGATGAAGGTTAATATTCAGGAGGATGCCTATATGTTTTTTTCTTTGGGTTCACCTTCTTAGTTAACTTCTCTAGGATCATGAATTATAGGCTCAATGTCCTTTATTTATGGCTAGAAACCAAATATGAGTGAGTACATCCCATGTTACTGCACGTACTGGCTTTGTGGGAGCCTAGGCAGTTTGGATGCTCACCTTACTAGACCTGGATGGAGGTGGGTGGTCCTTGGATTTCCCACAGGGCAGGGAACCCTGATTGCTCTTTGGGCTGACGAGGGAGGGGGACTTGATGGGGGGTGGGGGAGGAAAATGGGAGGCGGTGGCGGGGAGGAGGCAGAAATCTTTAATTAAAAAAATAAACAAATAAATAAATAAATAAAAATAAAAATTAGTATTGGCAAAGGCCTGATAACATACTTGGCAAATGAGATGAGATGTCACCCAGTTAAAAAAGTTTATATTATTTAATGCCTAATTTTATCTAGGGACTTGTTATTGAATGAAATAAACGATCAAAAGGTCCAATTTTGTTAAATTCTCTTTATTCACATTCTAATTAAAATATAAAACTTCCCCTTTCTCTTTCCTCCTTCCAGTCCTTCCCACATCCCTTCCTTCTAGTCCCTTCCATGCTGCCTTACCCTCAAACTGACAGCTTATTTTACTTTATCATTATCCATATGTATGTATACATGTATTAACATGCACATACACATAAACATGCATGATATCCATGGAGAGAGCAGAAACAACATACAATGCTAATGTAAAACCATAGTGATACAGAGCTATATTTGTCCATATATACTTTATATATATACATATATGTATATGTGTATATGCTCTGTTATAGCATTGTAACAACAAATAAAAGAAGAGAATATATATAAAACAGATCACAAATTTCACAAGACCCTTAATTTTGTAAGCTTGTTCAACTTGCACTTTGAAATTCTTTATGTCTGGATGACTTTAGCATGAAGCAATCTATACATGCCATGATATAGCTCTCTGTCTAGAAGTGGGGGCCTATGTAGCACATCTGCTGATCCGTCATGGTTCAAGTCTATTTCACGGCGCATTTATTTTGAAGTCAGGCAGTCACACAGCAGACTTTCAGGTCACATTTCTAAGACAGGCAGTCACACAAACAGTCCTCTAGTTATTACAGTCTTTCTGCCCCTCTTCCATGATGTTCCCTAGGGTTCAAATTTTAAAGTAGTATGTAATTGTTTTATACTGTAACACCAAACAAGATAATTGCCTATATATCTAAATTCTCGCATGTTTCTGCTATTGTTATTTGCGTTCTTTTCACCTCATTGTAAGTCAACATAGAATCCTCCTAAGCCCTAATCCCCAGATAGAAACAAACTGTCCACCTATGTGAACACTCACCAGAAACATGCAAAAAGAATAAATTAGGAAAAAAAAATCAGGCTTCTCTCTTTCTGAGATCTGAACACCCACAGAGAGGGGGAAACGGTGCACAATGTTAATGTAAGCAATGCTGATACAGAGCACTATGTCAATCATAAAATATTGTATAAGGAGAGCAGAAAGAGCGTTATTGACACTGACAGACCCACGGGTCTGGCATTTAGAGGTGTCTTCTGACCACCCAAAGTTCTGTGGGAAAGA